TAATTCTGTTCTTTGTGTCTACTCAAAAATTCACACTAATGGCGGTATGAGGCTTACGAATTTAGTCGATACAATTTGAATTTGACAGTGTTCTTCTCCGCGTGTCAACATTGACGTTTATATTTCCGAGGATCAGTACTCAGCGACTGACACAGCATTATCAGTGGCGTTGTACAGGTCCTCGCGTGTGCAGGTGTCGAGGCACATAGGACAAGACAAAAGATGTGCCATAGTCTAGGGAGAGACACCACAAATACATGCGCTCCCCGAGCTACAACCCTACCTGTGCATACTTCGGCCGATTTGGGTCCGCAGTCTATTTAGAGATTTCCAAGTGTGACAAGGTAGATTATGCCCAGGAAGGAGGTGCTCTGACAGCGGAATGAGTGATGCCGTGGGGTATCTCTCCTTCCAGAGATTTATACGGACTTGGTTAGTTTCCCCGTCCAGAGGGAAAGTTGACAATGACGGCGAAAGAAAAATTTGGCATGTGGTCTACGAAAAAGATTTGGAAATCTCTGCTGTAGATATTAAAAATTTACCATTTACGAGGTTTAAAGCTATTGTAAACTTTATACAACAGGTTTTTACAAAACTTCAGCGTAGTTGAATGCCACAAACCCGTTTCGTTCTTTTCGGATGTTTTGTTGTTTCAGATTGTTTTGAAACTATGATATAAATATCATGGATTTAAAAAGTCGGAAGTATATCGGAAAATAAATGAATCGAATGGCTTAGATCATATTTTATGTGATAATATCATTTTTAACCCCAAAGTAACTAAAGCACTTTTGTTATCGAAATCGGAAACATCGATTACGTATGTAGAGAAGTTGTGTTCCCTACTTGAGATGGCATGCTGTTTGATCGAACATTAATTGCTCGAAAACGTTGGCTCGATTACCCATTTGACATATGAATCGAGAGCTCTAAGGTTTGCCACATCGATGCATCAAAATCTCGAAAAAACATTTGCTCTAAGGAGGATCAACAGCTAAAAAGTGACTTCTCGAAAAATTGAGTTACCTATATCGTATTTTGTATTTTTTTTACATTTCAATGTGTGAACGAGCAGGCTGTTTATAGGGAACCCAGAGAAGTTAGTTTTTCTATATTGGCCTGGCCGGGGATCGACTGGACCTCAGAGACCATTCACTCGTCCACTGAGGTTCTCAAATTGTCGTCGTAAACAGGAGTTTATCTATTTTATAGTTTATTTATTTATCTTGCACGTTATTATTATTATTACTTTTGATTGTAGTGTTGTCCAAAAAATAATAATTAGTTACCTTACCACGTAGCCAGCCAGAACCATTAAATAAAGGTTCATTACAAAAGGGGTTTTCTTGTTTCAATTTAATTAAACAGCAGACTACGCCAGGCTTGTTCGGGCATCCAGCTTTATCCCAGGGTCAACACATCCCTAATTGGTTTGTACCTTGCAGTTGATGAAATTTCTCAACCATTATGGCATACATTGTTCGTGATATTCACATTAGAGACATTAACAGACATTATGTACCTGCCTACCTGGTAATTATAATAATCAATTAGCAAAAATAATTAAAAAATTCGTGAAAAATATTCTTGCACCTTATAATTAAAAATATTATTACAGTTTATTCTTGGTTTCGTTATGAAGTGACATTTTATAATAATGACGATTAAAATAATACAAAAAGAATTTTTTTGCCGAATTTTAATTCAAAATTTATATTTCTTCTTCTTCGTATTTTTGTAGCAGATGTAAATAAGACAGCGATTATTAATTCGGTTGGAAACTTTTAATTCGAAAGGATTTTGAAATTGCAGGTTTCCGAGCAACTATAATATAAAAAATTAAATAAGAGAAAAATATATTGGAAAATAATAAACGTACTATGAGTACCAGAGCAACGGATTTCAGTCTGAGGCATATCCCAAAACACCCAGATCAGAACCAATTTAAAAATGTTCATTTATCAAATTGATCCTACCGGGAATCGAACCCGGGACCTCCCTCCGAAACCAATGCTTCGGGCTCTTTACAGGTCCCATGGCTGACTATAGAATTATTACTTACCCCAAGACCGGTTACAATTAAAGATTCTTGGAACAGTAAACTTTTTTCGTAATAATGTTTTCAGGGTAGCAGCAGTACTACTGCTATATTCTGAATCAGGAGTCTAAAAAAACGATAATAAATCGATCTTCTCTTTTAAAATCAAACTGAAAGAGTTATATTATCATACCAGCCGAGTTTCCTACGGGTGGCCGTGTTGTTTCTGCATTTTCTAGGTAGACGGTTCGCTGACGCAGTATGATCCCATTAAATTTGGGATTTTCTTTAATTTTGTGCTTATATACATTCTGCTATTTAATTATATGCAGAATAATAATATACATTAATTAATTTATCCTCATAATAATCATAACATATATTAATAATAAAATATTATTATGTTATTATTAACAACGCAATTTTCCGTGCTTATATATTTTTTTCCTTGTATTTTTTTGTAAATTTTTGCTGGTGTTGAGCTCTACGGGCTTACTGAAAACCAGTGCTGTGGTAGGACACTGCAGCATATGCTGAGATAAGTCCCGTGTTGGCATGACGCTACAACACAGACTATACTATACCTCTACTTTGACTTTATTAACTAGTTTTAAGTGTAATTGTATGCTTAATAATTATTTGTATGTAAACGGTTTTTAGTGTGGTTTTGTGTTGTTGTATTCATGTCAATAAAAACATGATAATGTCTATGTTGATACCCTCTACATTAACGTTGGAAGCAAATTATGCATTTCTGAAATGCAAATAAAAGTGATGAATTCAAATAACGACTCCTCACCCTTCGTGAAATGCTCCACTGCCACCTATGACGGATGCTTGTTTCTCATGTTTCGGAGCGGAGTTACAAGAAAATCATTGACTCCGGTAACCGATTTCAATAAAACTAGACAAATAGATGTAATTCCACGAACTATTGAAGTCGGTTTTTCATTACGCAAAAAAATGACAATGGATGGGTCACTTATGCCGCAGAATTGTTGACAGTTGGAGTAGAAGAGTGCTGGAGTGGAGACTGAGAACCGGTACTAGAAGCATAGGCTGCCAAAAAAATGGATGGATGGACAGTATGGTCAAAGTAACCAGCAAAATGTTGATGTAAATAGCCCATGATTGGAGAGAATGGCGTGCAAATGAGGAGACCTGCACTCAGCAGTAGGTGCCTAAAGGCTGAAGAATAAGTCATTTGTAAACGACACCTGTAAAGCATTCATCAACTTGATTGCTTATCACAATTCAGCATGGACATCTAGCACATCAACAGACGTGACAACATTGCAGGCGACGCCCTTTCACGTACGTTAGAGAAATATTTCCGCCATCAGTTATCGACTTCAATGAGTTAGCAAGATTCCAACTGAATGACATCGTGTTCAACAAATTAAAACACAATAAAAAGCTTAAAATTTAGTAAGTAAACCTATGGGGTGCGTACAAATATTGCGAATGCGCCATAAACACATAGTTCCACACGTAGGAAAATTTCTGCGATTTGAGCACGTACGCTCTAATATATATACATATATGTCTATACATAGTGGACCCTTTACTCTGTCTCTTTGACAATATCTCCAAGAAAAATATATTTCGTAACAATGATAGATCGTTGCAATTCCTACCCCAAAGCTTTCGTAGTTGTAGATATTAAGGTAAATGTCTCATTGGTTAACGCTTTTAGACGGAAAATCACGTATGCATTGCCAAAAAAGTACTTAATTATCTATCACACTGACTACTTAGGTATGTTAACATATTAAACGGTTTGTCATTTATCTTCTAGGAACTATAAAATTTAAAATAATCATAGGCATTATTAATATATTCCAGTTTTCCGTTACCTCTAAAATTGTGCCTGTGTATGACCAGTGAGATCGGAGTATCAGTATTTGATAGGACGTTATGTTAAGATTTCATAGTTATTTAAACGCATGAATAACTTGATAAAAAGAAATTTAAATAATAAGAAAAACCATAATCAATCAAGATGCTTTTATTAAAATTAATAAATATTTACTTACCTTTGTAGTCAAGGTAAGTAAGTGTGTGAAAAAAAACATAAAATAGAAAGTAGAAATAGAAAATATACGAATGTAACAGAAAGGTGTTATAGTTAAAGGACCCAAAATAATGCGTACTTCATCTAAAAATGAGTTGCTAAAATGGTGATATAAATTTAATGAAATTTGAAGTTAGTAAAATTTTATACAGTATAATAATCCGCAGTATCTCATATTTTCTCGCTGCGGCTGCTATAGGATTTCTTCTTGATAATTCGTCTACAGCCTTCAATACGTCATCATCAGAATTAGGGTGTCGCCTTAATGGCATTTTTTCATTGAACAATACCCGTAGCCATGGACTTTTGTAAGTCAATGCCCGTAACCAATAGTTGACACTAGTTATGCCCTAGTGTCTGACACCTCAATATACAACTGTCAATTATTGGGTTCCCATAGATTTCTTATGTTTGGGCTCATTTGATTCGTTTTGACGGAACATACATCTGCGTTTCAATTCTCCTTGAGAAAGCTGCGGCTACGAATACAACTGAAGAGCAAAGAGCGGTTTTCTTTTACAAAAAGTTATAATTATGTTTACTTTATTTTAAGCAAATGAAACTGACAGTGGCCTAAACTTAGTGGACACCATTAACATTCTAACCCAGCAAAATAATGGAAATAATGCTAAACGCCCCATATTCATTCAAATGTAAATAGTAAATTTAATTACATGCTTCAGCCAGCAGTTTCAGTAAAAATATAATAAATTATGTAGCGCTATATTTGAATGTAATATTTTCATTATAATACATATTAATACTAATTAGGCGTTTACGTGATCATAGAAATTAAACCCATTGTCTGAGTCTAAATCACTTCACATATTACATATTAATACTCATTAATAACGCACAACTTTCAAAATGTGAATTTTAATTCCTCTCGATTAGCTTATAACTTTATAAACATTAAAAATACACATAAAACAAGTTTTAATAACAACAATAGTAAAGAAAATATCTATCTATCTACGCAACATTTTTTCTATGAACCTACTGAAACCATTTCTGATGTCGAAATTGTTGTACTGAATCATTCTTCTTCTTGGTACATTTACTGGAATTCGGACTTGGTACTCATTTTTATTAGGATAAAGGTAGCAGACGCCTCGATCCATAACACGCCAATGTCCTGCAAACAAAGATATAAACATAAGGTTGTGACAAAAGGGTGAATATACTATGGAAAAATTGTGTTTGTCATCGCCATGGAAGAAGAAAAAACAATGGAAGAGCCTCGATTACTATCAGAACCTCTGTCGCCAAAACTCACACCATCATAATGTTAACGAGGACGAGGACGGTTTCAAAAAGGTGAAAAGGAAAAAGAAGTACACTAGCCGTAACCTTAGTGGCACCGCGACGTTGTTATACGTGTCACGGCTTCCTTACTCCACGACGTCCGCCGATATCGAGGAGTATATACGAGTGAAAGCCAATCCTGCCAATCAAAAAGCTATCCTGAGGATCAACCAGTTGGGGTCCCGCCACAATGTAAATTTTAATTAATTTGTGGTGAGAGTACCAGCTCAACATCTATCGACCTTCATGTAGGATGAGTTTTGGCCGCAAGGTGTCATATACCGACGTTTCCGAGGCCGGTTACCGGACACCCACGTTGCGTCACACGTCGCAGACCATACGTGTACATAATAATTAGTCATTAGTATTTTTATGTATTATTATGTATGTTAGTCTATAAGGTATTTATTTATGGGTCTTTGTAACCTGAATACAAATAAATAAATTAAAAAATAAACAAATTCTGGACTGTTAATATAATCTTATATCTTATAATAAACTTCTATCAGTTGGCATATCGTTGAAAGTTCAATAACTATTACTGCAAAATACGACGATGATATGAAACACCATAGATCTGTGCGACAATAATTTTTGCATTCCAACGCAAAATAAGGCATTTTTTCCATGATGTTCGAGGTTGATAACTGACATGATCAAACGTACACAGCGTAAATGGTGGCCAGAGCTCACTTCACTCACTTCTATTGAATTTATTGTCCTGTGGTCATTACGCTCATACAGTGACAATCTGGGCTCCGTGGTGTCTTTGAGAGACAAGTTCAAAGAAATGAACATTGTTACACTAGCGTCACAGTACATTTGTGAAAATATAATTTATGTTAAGAAGAATAGAATTTTGTTATGAAAAATAGTAATAGGTATAACTTTAATACAAATAAAAATAAACAGACTGTTAACAGTCGTCTTCACAAAGTCACAACTTCATTTAAGGAGCAATGTGTACACTTCAATAAGATTCCGGCTGATATTCAAAATTTGCCTTTCACGAGGTTTAAAACTAGAGTGAAACTTAAACTTTGTATTAAAGATAGCTTACATACAACTTCTGCGTGGATGCCAATAATCCGTTGTGGTGACCAGTGGCGGCTACTACCTGCGCTGCACTACCATTTTTTAGAATAATTAATAATAAAATACCTAGTACTAAAAAATCATACTCAAAGTCAAACAAATATTCTTTATTTCTTAGGTAAGCATATTACACTTGAAATCTTCATATTGATTAAACTCTACTACTCATTCGTAAGGTAGATTCCTCTGAGAATAATGAGCAATATACTCTAGTGGTAGTATAATACGTATGTAATCGTTTAAAAAGAAACGTTTTAATAATATCTGCGTAACGAAATCATCTGCTTCAGTTCTCAAGCAGCTAGAGCAATGACAACTCGACGCATCATTTTACACATGTCATTTTTAGTAGCAGTTGAGCTCCTTGTGCAAGAGTTCGTCCAGGGAAGTACTGCCACCTTACCTATTCTAAGGGTGCTGGTGAAATTACAGGCACATGGGACATGTCAACTTATGTATCAGGGTGACGGACGCAGTGGCTGTGCCCCTCAGATCTTTGCGATTTAAAGTTCTGAGGACACTGTAACTGTTATGGACAGGCGTGTAGGTTACCATCAGGCGCACGACTTGTTCGTCTCGTCACTTGATATTATATAAAAAATAACGGAAAGTGTTACTGTGTAAATATTTTGGCAAGTGTTAAGCTCAAGTTTTTTGTTTATAGTACCTATATAATACTACCCCTATAAAAATAACTTTCAAATTTTAATAATGTTCAAATCTCTTAGTAGATAAACACAGTTTATTAAGACCAAGTAGGGTAACTCGCGCCTATTCGGCACACCAATGCCTACTTCAACGAAGCGTAGGGCAGTCATAATATTGTTTTAGTTGTACAATATTATTTCTCTATTCGAATATACATTTTTCTTCTGTATGTATGGTACGCGATAATTCCAGGTTTTGTGAACCGATTTTGATAATTCTATTTTTCTTGGAAAGAGGGTACCTCAGTAGTGGTCTCATTTAAATCTGAAGCAATTATTCCGGTAACCTATCACAAACTCGAATGCTTTTTCCCGAAATAACGTTTGTTCGAATTGTCATTACATCGAAAACCGAATTATAACGAAACCGTTGTTCCTTCAGGATATGTTGGATGTTTATCGCAAAGACACGATTAGGTTCGGTTAGGTTAGGTTAAATTCCTTTCAAAATTACTTTCGAGGTTATGAAAATTCGACCAAACGTTATTTCAGAAAAATGTCATTTCTGACTATTGATAGGTGACCAATTATTCCACCTCTAAGGGTGGCAAACTAGGGAATGGATGACTTTTGAGTTAGGTTTTTAGTACTCTGTACTGAGACTATAGTTGTATCTACAGGTTGTAAACATAATTTAGTGATGTTATTACAACAAAATATTTATGGTACTTCAATAATTATGTAAGGTCACGTAGTCAAAGATGACGCGCTTCATTCGTTTAAAAAGTGCGTCGTCACCGTTCTATCCGGATTTATTTCTGTAATCCGGAACACCCAGATTAGAACCAATTCAGGAAAGTTCGTTTCGGGAGTTCCTTATCTAAAGCCCACAGTCCTAACCACTAGGCCACAAAGACGTCAAAAAATGCATAACTCACCTCTCATGTGCAGTACGCATTGAACAATGAAGACGTCTAGTTTTTGATGTAATTTTTTAATTGCTGAGCGAACGATTCAATTATATAATGAACGAGTCACGGTGGGGGTCGGGCTCGGTATGTGTGATTAAGGACCCCTGAAGACCCCAAATTATCAGCCGGGTCTAAGTAAGTTTTTCTTCGGCTGCCATTTTGAATTCGCCATCTTAAATTTTCTTTACACAGACAGTTGACCACTGTTACCCTATATGACATTCCTTCGAGCACCTTGTACCTATCTCTAATAGTTTCCGTGATAGAAGGCTTTGAAATTTGTCTGGCGGCCATCTAGTTTATTTGAATTTCGAAAATTTTTTACTTCCGTCGATAATTGCCCAGGGTGTACCTCATAAAAGTACACAAACGTTCTTGTACCTCAAAGCGCACGAACTTATATAGTATAGATAATAGTTTTTGCAGGCCGTTAATCACTCTTTTATATTTTCCACATTCAGATAAGCTCGTATTTTTCCTTTTGTTTTGGAACCTATCCGCGTACAATGTTATAAATATCTTTTTTCCATCATGTAGGTAAGCATGCATTCTATTTCTATCGGTGAGTCGCAGCGTGTAGCTTTATATATATAATGGAGCCTGCGACCACCCGCGCTATGCAATGCGAGAGCATTACGAGATTATGCGAATATACGTGTCAGTAAATGGCGCCCGCCGGGTGTTTGCACACACACAAGCCGCGCTGCTACGTTTTTATTTTACCATGCTTCGTCGTATTATACTATGATAACACTAAGGTAGAAAAAGAACTTCCGCTTTCACTTACTTGAATCTCTTCTACAGTTGTCCATGAACATTGTACACATTGAAGGAAACGTGAGGAACCCCCAAGTGTACCATTCGTCTCTGTGTATAGTGCAGACTGATATCTCCACACCCCTATAACACAATATCAACCATTATAGCACGATTTTATTCCGCTTCTTTCCATCATCGGGGGACTAGATGTAGGCTGGGGTTAAATCCCTATGCTGTGAATATTCCAAGAATTCGCTCGAAGCATTACGTTTCCACATTGAAATGGCGAACGGCCATGGAGTAGAGATGAAACGGATAGTGAATTGGCCGGATACCGGATATCCGGCCATAGATACATGATCCACAGCCGTAAACATGTCGCGACTGGTTTACAGCTCGCATCGCCGTGATAGATTGATTAGTGAATGATTGACTTTCACATTGACGACTTGATTTGTTGTGGTTACTAGGTTATTCTAAAAGCGATTAATTTATTCAATAAACAAATATACAACAGAAAAATGTTAACAGTGAAAAATATCGGCCTTTTGGAAATATTTTAATAACATTGCTGTTTGTTTGTTGTGCCAACTACAAATATGTCGAGATGGAAAAGAAAAAAAAACAGCAAAGACATCATTCTTGGCTATATTAAAATTTTGTAGTTATTGTAAATATAAGCCTAGCCCTTGATATACCCATTATTATTTGTTTCAATTTGTACTTGTACTTGGTGTAACGGGCTGGTGTCCGCAACTCGACGACAAGGCGCCTATTTTGCGTGTGGTTGTTTCAATTTGATTTCATTCATTTGATACTAGATTTGCAAAAAAAAATTAAATTTATTTACTCACACGTTTCATTATTGTAGGTACATATTGTATTCTTAGATCCTTTCATTTGATCGTCTGGCAATAACAATTAGTACTTTAAATTTAACAACCTGTCCTCTGAAGTTGGTCTCGTTTAAGAAAATAAATAGAACTCACTTTTACCACATATTGCAGAAAAACTGGACTTCATCCATCATAATTTGCTTTTATTCAAATTTGAGTACAAAATTTACAGAAAGCGTTGTCTAACTTCATAGTTCTTTCAGTTACAAGTAATAAACAGATTTTCAACGATCCTGTCGTTGCTGTTTATCCTATTACTATCATCTGTAATCAATAAATAAATTTATTTGCCGTACTGATTATAAATTTTTGTCACTTTTAAACATCCGGCATCCGGATATTGCAGTACTATCCGGTATCCGGCTGGATAGTAAAAATAGGCCAGATAGGCCGGATACCGAATAGTTACCGGATATCCGTTTCATCTCTACTTTGGAGTGCAATTCATCTTACCTCTTTCTACCGCCAAACAGTAATGTGAGCACTACTGTGTTCCAGTTTTAAAGGGTAAGGGTTCTGGTGAAATTACAGGCACATAGGAATTGTTAACTCATGTCTCAGGTCGACGAGTGCAGTGGCAGTGCAGCTCTGAGTGGCACTGCAACTGTTATGGACAGGCGCGTAGCTTACTATCAGACGCACGACTTGTTCGTCCCGTCAAAAATAAAAAAATAAAAAATAAAAAGAAATTAAAAATCCCTGGATGCAGACTTGTTCCCTGAACGGTATAATTTGAACTTTTTCAAGGCGAGTGTGTATAGTCATTATTTAGGTGTATGCATGCTCCATCATTGGCCTCGTCGTAACTTTCCTTCACGAAAATGGAGGTTAAATGCGCGCTTAAATAATAAAAATCGATTTTTTAGTTTTAAAATCGCGTATTTACGTTTCAAAAAATCGACATTTCCGGCTCTGTAAATGTATCATGGTCATGGCTGACTATGTAGTGTGACAGTATAGTCAACCATGACCATGGGACCTATGAAGAGTTCCTACATTCTATCGACTTCTTAAATTAAAATTGCGTATTTACTTTTCAAACAAACTAACTTTTCGCCCTATATAGGTACCATGGTCATGACCGACTGTGTAGTGTGACAGTATGGTCAATCATGACTATGGGACCTGTGAAAAGCCCAAAATGGAATTGGTTTGTTTGGAAAACATAACATTAATGCGAGACATAATAAGCTCAGTACAGAGTACTCAAAAAACCGACTTCAAAAGTCATTCGTCCCCTACTTTGCCACCCTTAGAGGTGGAATATTTTCTTCAAGTTTAAATGTGACCACTCTACTCTCTTTCCAACAAAAAAAATCTTCAAAATCGGTTCACAAATTATCGCGTAACATACATAAAAAAATAAACGTGCAATCGAATTGAAGCCCTTCTCCTTTTTTGAAGTCGGTTAAAAATAAATAAGTTATTCTTGATAGTCATCTTTACAAAGTCACAAATTCATTTATACGCTTGTATGATAAAGTAAACCCAGTTTACGTTTATTCCTCGAATTAATGTTACGTCTGTCATTATTTTCCATTAAAAAATAAAAAAATAACTGCCCTTCTTATCATAAATTTCATTTTTACAAAATACTGTGGCGCTTGTGTTATTACTGTTTTTATTCCTTAAACTGATCTCTCAGAAACACTTGGTGAAAAATACAGTACAATACAAGAACATAATATGCTTACTGATTGAGAAGGCATTTTTGATATTGTCTCATGCAATACAAAGTTTTATATGTACTCTTGTCTGCCTTCGGATCGTTCATTGGGTTTGGGTAATGGAAGACTTCATTTTCCAATTCTTGTCCCTTGATATACTTGAATGGGGAATCCATGCGGGTATAGGACCCAAGCTCTTTTAAAAACGTGTACACGTCGTTTGCAGGTATTGTTGTGAAGGCTAGTATGAAAACAAAGAATATCTCAATGTCCAAGCACTTGATACAAATATACTTTCACACAGATATATCGCACTTCTATTACAATATAGTGTAATATTACAATAGTGTTGTAACTCAAAATATGTGAAATTTAATATTATATCATTACTGAACGTAAAATTTGATACCCTATACGTCAAAAAAACCGTTGTTAGAATATTGTAAGAAATAATCAAAAGATATCCACTTAACTGAAAGTGTGTCTCCAATTTATGTAAGCTAGTTCTGACCAAAATAATCCTTATTACTGTATTAAATTATTTATTCCATTTTATTTTCCAATATATTTGAGAAATTGTTTAAGTGTTTATAATAAACTATAACATATATAAATTTTAATGATGTTTTGCGGGAAGTGAGTAAATCAATCAATAACTAATAATTACTGTTTTATTTCTATACTATTTGTAATGGCTATCAATAAAGTTATTATTATTATTATAATTCGTTTTTCATCGATTGAGAAAGTCCACTTTTTGAGTTAATACACTATTGTATTAATAGTGCGATATTTTACTGGGGTCATCATACAATACGTTTTACGTTTTTATTATTATTGCTACAAACATCGAACAAACACAAAGAAAAATTCCTTCGATCCGACCATTGACTTACAAATAAATGAACGACGGGTCTAATACAAAAACCACGAAAAAAATGTCCCAAGTCAACCTATTCGAAATTTAAATTGTTATGTCATCGCAGTATCGCGCTGTCCGTAGAACAAATGAAGACTAAAGCGGAGTGTCGCGAGTGTCTGTATACGATTTTAGCGCCTTACAAGTGCGGACACTTTTTAGCGCGGACCCGACGTCCATATAATTGTAAGTCAATGGATCCGACTGAACCAGATGTATGTTGTCTCAACGTGACTACTCAATTCAACTTGGATCGAGCCAGCAGATCTTACAAATTTCTTTATGTGCCTGATCTTTGTATTGAGTAAAAACGGCTCATGGCAAGTCCAAACGGATCGAAGGAATTTTTCTTTGTATTTGTTTGTTCTTTGTTTCAATAATAATAACTAAAGTATAACTAAATAACTAAATAATAAAAGTAGTGAATTATTTTCACAAGAAACTAAACGTTACAAAGTATAAAATATACACAATAATATAGAACAGCAGAAACCACAACACATGGCAGCTGGTACTTAAAGAAAACTTGAGCTTTAAATACCAGCAACCTTTCAGTGCCACCAGAGATAAAAATCCGTCTTATTTTGTACAGACATGACAGAAAGAATGTTCAACAATACTTTAAATGAAAAATGAAAAACTAAATAATTTGTAACAAGAGAGTGAAATGAGAAATGTACCAGTGTGATAGATTTTATGTGGGGCTTTTAATGTACAAGTGTGTGTTTGTGGCTATTGTAGTGCAATTGATATTTTATTAAATAAAATATAGTTATTAGCAATTGCAAAATGACTTACTTTCGTCCTGAGCACGATATTCCTTAAATTGTGTTAAGAATACAAAACATAGACGAAATATCGGTTTCATATTTTCAGATTCACACTTACGGCGACAATGAGTAATTTGAATTAACGCATGCAATGACGATGACGGTTCAATATGAATTTACGAAAGTGGTCAAGTACGGGTCGAGATCATTATTTCAGAATTCAGTACCTTGCCTGTAGTGTTTGCGAAGATCTTTGTGAGCAATATTATATAAGTGATATTCTGGCATTACCGTGGTCGTGCTCTATTCGGGGTCTTGCATTTGAGTGTGGAGTAATTATAATATAGAAGACATACCCTTCTCTGACGTACTTAACAGTCCCTAAACTCATCTCTAGTTCAGCGATGACAATAATCACGCTGAAGCATAAAAATAGTTCGCGTACTTAACTAGAGCAGATGATTGGCTGCGCAAAGTTCCAAGCCCTCGAATTCAGAAGAAAGCCTTGCAATAAGGATGTACGCAGAGCAGAATTTGCCTTTTTTGCGGCAGATAACAAGCCATTGTGTTCCATGATCAATGCAGTCGAAACTTTAGTCTCCCTGCTTTACCACCTCTGCTGCAGTCGGACGAAAAAGCGAACGCTTTCGTTTCACTCTCAAGGAATTCGCATCTGAATACCTTGGGGTAATCAACTTTGGTGTCAGTACTCGTAGGTACGCCAAAAAGGCATACAGGTCTCTGCGGAATATAGATGTGAATAACGCTAGTGGGTCAGAAGCATTACCAGCAACAGTTCAGCGTTATCGGGGATCTAAGTTGCCTCCTGTTCTCACAGGCTTGTATCGCGTGACACTTAAGACTGATGTAGTATCCAGGTCGTTGAAGTCTCGCACACAACAATCTCTAAAAAATAAAATTAAATAAGGGGATTCGCATCAGGACGCCGCAGAGAACCTGCTACCTCCTTTACCTCAGGCTGGCTGTATGGAGCCATTTCACGTACGCCAGAAAGAGGAACTCAGAACTTTGCGGAGTCCAGACGTCAATAAAGCAAGTGGGCCAAATGGAATTTCAGCAATAGTCTTGCTTAATTGTACGCATTAGCTGTCCCCTGTTCTCACACGCTTGTATCGACTCAAACTAAACTTGAGACTGTTGTAGTTCCGTTGTGGAAGCTTACAAATGTGCGATCAGTGCCTAAAAATAACCCACACACACTCAAAATGAAAGCAGAGCTGACCCTGCCAACTGTAGTCTGTTTCAGTCCTTTCCATATTCTAAAAGACTATGAAACGTATACTTAAAAACCGTCTCCGGGCGTTAAACTACAATACAGTACAGTGCAGTGTAGTATAATACAATACATCTAATTTATTGTTTTTTTCCACCGTAACTACAGTTCATTTCTGAGGAAGAACACCTGTCTTCCTCCTCAGAAATGAACTGTAGTGCCTAAGTGCCTAAGCTAGGTTGGACCTGTACTTATAGGACACCAAGCTATGTATCTTTGTCATAGTCAATAATAATATGATCACCCATGCTTTTTAGCAGCGTAGCAAACGCGATGATGTAGCGATGCAGTTGCTAATCGTCTACCTTTACATACGTGCGCGATTTTAAGCAGCGATGCAAACGCGATGCAAGAGCGGGACTGCATCGATACAAACGCGCAGTTGCATAGCTAAACTTGGGATTTATAGGCGATGGCTTCGCCTTGCATCGATTTGCTAAAAGTCGCAGTTTGTAACCACTCGTATGTGTTACAGAAATGCGTAAGGAAACTATGAAAACGTGCAAACACAGAAATCATTGGTTGGAAATTAGAATAATAAATCAATTAGATTGATTCGCATTGTTGAGTGTAATTTCCCTCATAACGATCACCTTACTTGGTACCTGGGTCTGAGCACGTGACATGTAATAGAGAGAAACCCATTTGAAAACGGATCTCTATTACACGTTAATTAAATTTGAGCTGTAATTGGATTTTAAGGTAATTTGTAGTCATTCCATTAATGTGGGTACAATACACTTGTGACTGTGAACAAAACTAGTCTGAATATTCATCTTAAGCTATTTTGTATCTTTCAGAGCCAGTTATCGATTCAAACGCAATGTGACAGAATTCAGTTTATTGTTTATGAAAGCAAAAGGATAAATTCGTTCGTTCGTTCCGTGGCTTTGTTGCCATAGGCTCTGGCAATTTTCTAGAAGACGTCGGTTCGAATCTTTGTGTTAACAAATGATAACAAACTAGTGGAGTAATTTTACAAAAAAAAAGATAGAATTGATAAATGTTAACTTATTTGATTACGCGTTATTTCCTAATTATTTGAGAAACAAATTCAAATTAATTTATTCATATGAGACAACATAGTCTATAATAATAATAATAATAATACATACAATTATATACTGCATATTAATTAATATGCAGTGTGTAATTGTACGTACATTAATTATATATCAAGTTAAAGTATATAAATTCAATTTTAAACAACATCCAAATAAATACAATTCAACTAATAAAGTTATATATCTAAGTTATCTACGAATCACATTAACTTAGTGTCGAATAAATTAGTGTCGAACATGGTTTGTTTGTTTATAAATATCACACACATGTCAGTTTAACGGCTCCCGCTGGGTGATGCACAGAAATCTAAATAAATATTTATTTCGATTTATGTGGAGTGAGGTCACAGAGGGGGTGGCGCTGGTGTTGTTTGAATTTGTTCACTTTAATCTGTTATCTGAATCTAGTTTTAGAACTTGATGGTCATTGGCAGATTTGTCGTATAAGGAGTTTAGATGATAGTCAATGCTTTCCTAAATGATGATCGCGCATTGACAAAATGGGCTTTTTGTGTGAGTTGTTCGGAAAATGAAGATGTAGGCGCGGCCGCTCCCTGTGAATTCGCGTGGAATTCGCCCTGTGACATTTAAAATCCGTTTTGACCTGATCTCACTTTTGTAGTTTTGAACAAATTTTTGTGAAAAGCGGATAAACGAATTCATTTCATTCAACTGCCATTATTATTACACCGCCCCGTCTGAACGAATTGATAACGAAGAGTGAATAGGCCAATGTCAATCCACGAGCGTTTATAATTTAATTGCAGAGTAAATCAGTGATAAGGGTGTTAACCTCAACGTCTCCCTTACAGTTATATACCGAAATATCTAAGTTAATTTTACGAATTGAACTAGTTTAGAATATTTTCCTCAAATTTGATTGGTGCCACTATTATTTCAGTAAATACGTCTGACAAAAAAGCAACGAAATCAGTTCAGAAATGACAGTGTAACAGAAATAAAAACAGCAAAAAATATGCTTGAATTGAGAACCACATCCTTTTTGAAATCAGTTAAAAATGAAACAAAAGATGCAACAACCGGCACTGCGCAAACTTGCTTGACGCTCGATATAAAATATACGTAATTATGCACAATTATTTGTACGCAAAAAAAACAGGTAAAGCCGCGCTACCTGGCGACGAACAGCCGTGCTCTATAAATCAGAGACAAAATTAATTCATAAATTCAGTTTTAACTTCTTAAATCACACTTCTGACAAAATTTTGTTGTAAAAATACTTGCCAATTTTCCCTAACAAAATGTGAGTACATCCGTGAATCTAATGCATTTAAATGTTCACATTTTCACTCGGCAAATCCACATAGCACGACGTAATCGTACGTCATGCTATCATAAGGGATGTTACAGACCGTCGACTACTCTATACGTAATCGAGATTTGTTTATGTAAGCTAGCAATCTTATATGTGGTTTCCATAAAAAAAAATTGTATATGTATTTTTAGTCAATTTAAAGGAAGACCTTATAAATCATTTATGAGCATATATATACGAATATTTACGGAGCATTCAATAAAAAAAAGTATATTGTGTTACAAACGAAAAGAATAACAAATCTTGTTAGAAAATAAGTAAACATTACAAAAAAAAACAACCAAACAAAATATTTTACCGTAGCCGCTGACGGTAGCTTGTTTTGTTTGTTCAAGAGGCTCGCAGGTTCGAGAGGGATAACGACCTCATTAGGAATGCGATCAACGCCGCAACAGCTTCGCTTTTATTGTTCCAAGACCTAATCTTTGCCAATTTCCACCGCAAAGCAAGCAGCTCGCTGTGAAGATATTGGAGAGTACAAAACCCAATACGATCACAACGGTCGGCACATTTACGACTCTCGGAATTTTGCACAGTTAATATATGTATATTTTTTATAATATCAAGTGACGAACGACTAACAAGTCGTGCGCTTGGTGGTAAGCTACACTCCTGTCCATAACATTTGCAGTGCCATTCAGTGCTTTAAAACGCAAAGATCAGAGGGTCACTGCCACTGCCCCCGTCACACTGAGACATAAGTTGACAAGTTCCATGTGCCTATAATTTCAAAACCGGAACAAAGTGATGCTGATATTATTGCTTGACGGCAGAAACAGGAAAGGTGGCAGTACTACCCTGGATGAACTCTTTTACAAGGAGCTGTACTGCTACTAATTAATATACAGGGTGTCCCTCGGGTAAGCCTCACGGAGGGAAAGTACCTTACATACCGTAGACAGAAAATTTTACTGGAAGAAGACTTAATTTTGATTTTAAAAATAATATATTTATAAATATATATTTAAAAATTCAATCTGCATTCAAACACTTTTAAATAACCGCCTGTCTGAAGCAGGCCTGTCGAAGCAGCCAAATGTGAAAAAAAAAACTTACAATTTTACTATACTTATCGGAGGACTCAATAATAAGGATGGTTTTCTTCTAAAAAACATAGCATCTCAAATAAAAGGAATACCATGAAATTTAACATTTAATTTGCCGCACTCATAACAACTAACATTATCATTTGAAAGTATTACTAATGCGTAGAAACGTGAGAAAGAGATATAATTTCCATAATACATGCATGATAAAAAGCAATCCAATGCAAACTTGGAAATGATAATGTCAGTCGTCATGAGCGCAGCAAAGTCAGAGAAAAGGCTATTCATTTTCCTGAACAAAATTTCAAAATAAATATTGATTTTCATGGTCTTCACTTTCGGGTGCTATATTATTTAGAAGTAAACAATTCTTATGAT